TTGTTGGGGTAAAGGAAAGATGCTGACCCAGTGTGAATGTCTGTTGTCTCGACAGGTGACAAACTTGGAAGAGTTGTCCACATCATCCAGTCCCGGGAGCCGGCGCTGAAAGACTCCAATCCCGACGAGATCGAGATTGACTTTGAGAACCTCAAGTCCTCCACGCTGCGCGAGCTGGAGAGATATGTTATGTCCTGCTTACGGAAAAAGCCGCGGAAACCGTATGGTGAGTGGAGACATTTGCCTTGGCGTGCTGTATGTTACTGCATGTTCATGCTTACTCCCTGTCATGTTCAGCTTTTAGACTACAATTGGAAGATCCAATATCCGGAGAAGCAGAAGTGGTCTTCCTTGTGAAATAATTGGTTCTAAGAGAACCTTTCAATTGCCTTATGAACCACCTACAGTTCGAAGGGTTTGCAAGATTGACAACAAATTTCGCCAAAGGCCTATTTTATGTGGGGATTATGTGTCTGTGAAAGCGTAACCAAAGAGTATCTCATTAGACTTGTGATTCAACAACAATTTTTCTGGTCTTACTTTGCAGCCTCCAAAAAGGCACAGGGTAAATCAAAAGAGGAGGCAGTCAAAGAGAAGAAACAGGAGCTGGAGAAGAGACTACAGGCAGTCAGCGGTCAGCTCGGTGGCGGGTTCCAGAAGAAATCGGCCAAGAAAGGTACCTAGACAAGTCGATACCTTGGGGCCTCTTTGTCCAAAGGCATACCTCCTTCAGGCATGGACGTCTGGTCTCTCTTGACAGGGACGGAGAGAGTTGCCTTAAATCACAGGAGGTTATAGAAAGCCAAGTCTCTGGGTTAATCCCAACCTGTGTCCCCTTGCATGGAGCAGGTTGTTTCATGGCAGAGATACACATAATGTCATTTCGGTGGTGGTTGAAGGGGCTTCTTGCCCAATTCAACCGTTGGCTACTGTTAAGTCTCTGAAAGCCTGGGTGAACTTATCATGGGTAATCATGGGTGAACTTTGCTTCCTTTTCTCCCACAGTTGTGGAGATCAGCCATTACCTGTGCAATCTCCAACAAGATTCTGTGTGATTTGTTCTTACGTTGAGGGTTAGGGCCACGCTGTATGTAGAGTCTGGGTACTGTTCCTTTGCCCTTGGGCTTGATGACTCTTTGAAAAGTACAAAGGTCGTGGCAATGGATTTCTACAGAGTTGTAGATTTTCAAGGGTTTTCAAAAGCTGCTAGCAGAAATTCTGCTGGACCTGGTGGTAAGTCACTGCATTTAAATGATGAGTTTCTAAGTTTGTCGAGTTTAAGACTGGTGATTTAGGATACTGTTAAAACCAGTATGACAGACGGTATGTCTTACGTCTTGGTAGGAAAAAGTTGTGACATCGCTCAGTGTTTGGTTTTTTTTCCCCTTCTGCAGCTCAGCAAGAAGCTCTGGATAGCCTGGTAGATGTCGGCGGCACCAACCGGCTCAGCGCTAGCAGCAGCAGTTCGTCGGGCACCGACAGTAGCAGCAGCTCCAGCTCCAGTTCAAACTCATCTGACAGCAGTGACTCAGAGTCAGGTAGCTAGACTTCTCCGTATCGTAGACCTTGGGCCGTGCAGTGGGCATTGCGGGTTCCTTCGCGTGAAGTCTGTTGGCTCTCGAGCCATTCCGAATAGGAATTTTACGGGCTGTGGCTTTGCTCTTTTTTGCCATGGGGTCTGTGTTGAAGGTAACTTATCCACAGCCATCAGAGAAGAAGCCTGTATTAGACTGTCAAATAGGTTGGTTCTGGGGATGCAGTGATCCAGATTGTAGCAATCTGCAACCACTCTTCAGGAACCAGATGAAGAAGCCCACTGCATGACGAAGGTCTGTAGGTCTTATTTATATATACACAGTGGAGCAATTCAAGGCTTGTACGCAAACCGTCATCAGATGTCTGTACTGAGGACTTGAGTAGAGTTTGTTATAGCAGGTGGATAAGGGGGAAAAATTTGTCATGTGATGATGCTAACACTTTCATGTCTTTTCTATAAAGTTCTCAGATTGGGGTTCTGAGATTTAAAAGATTGGGAACATCAATCCGTTCAGCATTTAAAAAATCGTAAAAACATGTATTCTGTTCCATCTGATGGGAGTGACACATAGTATGAGAGGAACAGTGTACCAAGTCACAGCGTCCACAGTTTGGTGCGACATTCTGCCTAAAGAATAATGAAATACAATTCGTCTCCAATGGATGAATGAAAAATAAAATTTTAAACTCTAGCACGGCACTTTCAAAACAGACTCCAGGAAATGGGGAGAGAACTTTTAATCTGCATTTAATGCAGTTCAGTTTGCGGACTGAAATTGACGGTCTTGTGCTGCATTTTGATAAAAACCAAACCAATTCCAACATTGTGCGATATTCGTGTATAATAGTTAAACAAGCGGAAGAAAACCACATAAAATCAATTGAAAAATGATTTTGCAGAATGGCAGGCAAGCATGCTTTAAGATGAGACAGTTGTACATGGATATTTGTTCACTGCCATACATTTTGTTGGTCCAACCTGCGTTGTGTACTTGCATGAGCGTTTGCGGGAAAAAAACAGACAAAAGAATTATTTAGGAAGTGTGATGCTATCACCGAATGATTGGTCGCTCGCTTCGCGAGGATTGTACCAACCTATTTGAAGACTCGTTAATTTTGGTCTCTCTTTTTGTACTTTTTGAGAGCACTTTGGTTTTTTTTTTTTTTCCTGTACACCACGAAATCATGTGTCTTAAGGAATGGCATGGAAGTTACTGGTCACTTGATCAAACACTAGCCAGAAAGCCAGGCCTTCAAACCACCAGTTGGCCTGACGGGGGCGAACCATCTAAAGAAGGATGCACTGCCACCACTAAAAGACAACCTGTCATTTTTCAGAGAGGGTTTTATTCAAGAGATTGTTTTTTTCTTCTGCTCTTGTTCGGCCAGCCTTTAAAAGTGGCTTTTGTGTCATCACAACATTCGTTTTACCTTTTTTTTTGTCTCCTGTTCTGGCTAGCTTGGCGGCCAGGGAGGGATGAACTCCGCCAGGAAGTTCATTTTTCTTGCCTTTCTGAGTTTAGCCCGGCGTGGAGGTCTGTGTCTGTGGCAGGTTAATTTGTGGGTGTGTGTGTGTGTGTGTGTGTGTGCGATTGAGTCATTGCCTCGTGAGCTTAATACTGTTGTTAACTAGTGGTCATCAACCTGGTCTCCAAGTGAGCCCTAGAATAACAAACAAGGGCCAAGTGGGGTGTTTTTTGGGGTACCTCCCATGGTCACTTCCACAGAATGGACCTGAATGTCACAGTGTTCCTTGTAACAGAGAGCTGTCTCTCTGCTCGATGTTGCCATGTCCCTTCCCCTCCTTACTCCCAACTTCTCCCCCCCTCAGTGGGTATGCCAACATTAGGTGCTCGCACTAGCCTTCACTTGACATAGCCAACTGGTGTCTCTTTATTCCGTCACGTCGAATTGTCGGATGCAATTGGATGCAACCAAACAAAAAAAAGAAACAGAGAAAAGCCCGGACTGGAACAACCGGACTGGTAGGCCAGTGCAGTAGGCCACCGCTTGACAACTGGCCCGTGTGTTGAACAAACTAGTCTATGCCATTCTTGCAGACACATGCTTGAACATTTGCTGCTGACACAATACTAGCTTATAAGACTCATCTGGTTTTTGAGTAAATATGTACATCTCTAATTATCCTGTTCTTAAACTCCAGCTTGTTCTACTAAAGCATGTTTATAGTCGTTATACTCTGAATGTAGAGATACTACTGTGTGTGTGTTTTTTTTTTAAATCGGTCCCTTTGTCACTTTGCAATCAAAAACGTTTAAAGTCCCATTTCACAAGTAGTTCCGTATTCCCCTGAAATACTTTTTTTTGGTAGGGTAGTTGATAGGATGTGCAAACTTCAATTGCCCTCTTCAATAAATGTGGCAAGTCCACTTTTTTCTATCGATCTGCAAGCCCTTGTATTAATCTTGACTTGTAAATAGAGTTTAAAACTGGGAAGCTTGGAATGGAAGTTTTACACTTGGTGGCCATTTTGAACACTACTTCAAAATGTAAAGAAATAGCAATTTTAAAAACTGGTCAATGTCGTGTCTTGTGCTCAAGGACAGTTTAGAACTTGTGTAGATTTTTTTACAACTTTTTTTCCTACTTTGGCAATTCATTGTCTTAGATCATTTGTCTGTTGTATTTTGTGTTCTTTTTTTGGAGGAAGCCTTTTTTTAATTTGTGGAATTATTTTGTACGAAAAACAACCGTCAAAACAGAAGTCGATTGTGTTCTCAATTCAGTGTTCATCGTTGCTGTGTTCTGTAAATTATGACTTGTCCTCTTAATCGAATATGGGAAGCAAAAATAAAACTAAAAAATCATTTGTGTTACTTTGTGCACTGGATGCTGTAGATGAACAGTTAAAACAAGGGCTAGATTTGTAGCAGCAGAGTATTAAACTGTGCCTGTACATAAAGACGACACTTGTGAAACATCCGGCTCTCCTATATGCTGATGTATCAATATCTCAATAAAAACAAAACTTACCAAACCGAAACAAAGTATTGATTTCTGTAAAGTCTGAAGCGTTCATTGCGTTTTTTCCCTTTGTTCTGATGGTTGGACCATTTTTTCCCCGATGTCTGTCAAGTGAAGGTGGTCGAACCCAATGTTGGCACCCACTCCTCTTCAAAGCCCCAAAGTTACTTTTGTGGTGGATTTAAAAATATTGTGCTGGTAACAATCTTTTTGCCCAATGTCTGTATGCTGAAATCTACTCAGGGCCAAATAGCTTTGTAACATGATAGTTCTAGCACACCGGTACTGTTAAAGTTATTTAGGTGTGTGGTGTGTTTGACTTGAAACTTGAACTTGAAAAGAAGTAGTTGTGTTTTTTATGAATATTAGAGAACTTGAGCCGAGAAGAGTGGGTTCCGATATTGAGGTTTGCCACATCACGCATGAACTTGACTGAAGCCGTGTCCGAAATGCTTTGTTCCAGCTCAAAATAAACTGTGTGTCTCTGGAAGCTGCCTGCTTCAGTGGCTTCATCAAATTCCATAGATGGATGTCCTGTATACAGCTGTAATGAAAAAATTTGGACACTGCCTTAGTTTCTGACCCAAAGGCTTCATGCATTCTACCCCCTTTGTGACTATGGAGCAAATAATGCAACAAATTTCCTCGAAATTCTGGCTTTACTTGCGTTGTTCACCCCTGAGGTGTGACACACAGTCCTATGCAGGAAAGTTTCCTGGGTTAGCCAGAATTCCTTCTTGAAAGCCGTGTTGCGCAAGGACATCAAAACCCAAGAGGGTAATCAAGGCCTGGCTCTGGATTGCCGAATCCAGTCAAATTTAGCAGAATTGAATGATGCGTGAATTAGATAACATGAAGTAGAATGCATTAGGGGCCAATTTCATAGAGCTGCTTAAGCACAGAATTTGCTTAAGCATGAACAAACGTTGCATAATAAGCAAAGGTTACCAGCTCAAACTCTATGTGACTGTCATGCTGACCAAAAGACAGGTAAATACCATTCCCAATCAATATACATCACAAGACGTTTTGTTTTGTCTAGTAACCTGATTTGTCAAACAAGGTTTTTTTCACGCTTAAAAGAAATTTTTCGCGTAAAAGTAGCACTATGAAATAGGCCTCGGACAATGCTGCCCGTGCACAAGTCTGACAAGCTGTGCCTCTGTCCGTCAAGCAAAGTGCAAGGCAGGATGGAGTGACGAAAAGGATTCGTATTCACTTTTATCAATCTGGCACATGACCTTGTCCTCTTTAGACCGTCAAAATTCCAAGACAAGATAGGGCAGTATGAAACTGTGGCTGGATTTGATGGATGGCCCATTTTGGGATGCCTTCTCTCGGGATCAGTTACAGTATTCGTTTCAGTTCTGCATAGCATATCCACGCATCATGGTTCCTAGTTTTCGTAGGCTGTCAGACTAACACCACGGTCAAGTAGTCAGTCTACTGGCTAATTCCTCTTACGCCACACCAGTGTTGAGCCTACACATGGATGTCGGCATTAAATACAATCTGAAAGAATCGATTCTGAAACTCTTTTCTGAAACTCTTTTCAGAAACGCAATTTCAGAAAGTGCACATCTTCAGAAAACTGACAGCTACTCAAAAAACCCATAACATCATGACGTCATGCTTCATGCACGTGAGCTTTTCCAATGGCAGTGAAGGGGGATACGATCCATTTTACTCCATAGGAAAGCACACATGTAAACGAAGCCCAACGTCGTCATGTCTGAGGTCTGTTAACTGCCCTGCCAGATAGCTACAAAGACCTCTATTATTTCAAGTGAGGATCTGAGGACAAAAGATGTCTGCACACAGAAGTAATGAAGAAGATGTGTGGACTTGCCCGAGTCCTCACGTTTTTAGCATTTTGAGGTTTGAGTTACCCCTAGCAAAAGGAAGAGGAACAGTTGAGGAAAGCAACCAAAGTCCCGCCTAAACTAGTGTTCTTAGTTCAATAGAAATGAGTTTCTCACAAAGTTTTCTCAACTGCCCAAAAAGAAAGGAATGCCTACACTCTTTTTGCAATGCGAAAGTGTGGGCCTGTGCGTATAATGATGGTTTGCATCCATGCATGTATACCGCAGCTGAGCAAGCTTCACCACGGAAACGGCTGAGACCGAGCACGGCGTCACCCCCAGGGAGGAAGCCACCCACGCCTAGGAAAGCGGTAAGACATTCTCTGCGATTTCACCCGCCTTGGTTTCTATAAGCCCTACCCTGCTACAGAGAACCCCCATCAGTGCTATAACCAC